GTGCGTGCGTGCGTGCGTGCGTGCGTGCGTGCGTGCGTGCGTGCGTGCGTGCGTGCGTGCGTGCGTGCGTGCGTGCGTGCGTGCGTGCGACATCTTTTAAGGTTTTTATTTCATTAATTAATCAAATGTTCAAAGTGTTTTCCTTTTACTGGTTTTGCATGTATGCGTTCGTGTGATATCACTCCGCGCGAACATACACGCACAAACGATAAAAGAGACACCAATCATTTGATTAACCCAGGAGTAGTCACCTCAATTTTTTGCGTAAATGATCTCCTGAGGTATTTTTTACACCCCAGTTAAAAGTCATTGTTATTCATCACATATTGTAAATTGTTGATTGTCTTATAATATATTAAAAAGTAAAGACATTATGGATATAGATTTAATTAATATTTTTTGAAAAAAGTAAAAAGAGATCAAGAAAATAAAAGACAAATAAAAAAAAGACATTACGAAGCTTATTTTGATTTTCTAAAATAGATTTTCTAAAATATAAAATCAGTTAATAAAATGCTTCTATGTTGCGGATTTTTTAATAAGATTGTATTTAAAAATTTGTAAAGACTACCCATTAAACAAATCGAAAATATTATGTACTATTCATTTTATAGCAACTTGAAACAAGGCTAAATTGCTATCATATAAATTCATGTATTTTATGTTTGCTGTTCTAAAAGTATTAAAAGTAATTTATTTTCATTATATTTGTAATATTAGTGATTAAGTATTATTGTATATTTGTTTATTATGTTATATAAAAATAAACTACATAAAGTAGATTTAAATAAAAATAAACATAGTAATTTGTATATGTATATGTAATTTGTATATGTTATAAGAAAATAAAAATTTATATAAACTTTATACATTAAAAAGTAACAAAACAAAAATAATCTTTAGTTAAAAAATTTTTTTAAATTTATAAACAGCTGTATAGGTGTTAGCTTCTACTAGATTTTAGCAAATAATGTATTCGTTAGAATTCTCTTCTATACAGGTTGAACAAACATATTGCATATGTTTCTTACACAGGAATAATTAATTTATCCTCAAAAATTTGTTTTGTATAAAATTTAAAACAATGTAAAACAATTTATTATTTGTTAGTTTCTAAATCTTTTTATATATCTGTTTTTCTTCAATAGTTAGTTTTCTTATTTTATATAAATTGTTATACCTATATATTATTATTTATGTATTTATTCTAATATAAGTATTCATAACGTCATCTTGTGTTATTTTTAACTCATATTATTATTTCAAGTTTATACTTCATACGCTTACCATATTCGAACTTGTGTAGTTCACAAGCAGTCACCTGTTTTCTACACCTCAGCAAGTTTCAATAGCTTTGTATTATCAATGTGTAAGACATAAACACTTTCTATTGTGCAGATTATGTCTCGAAATGTTTGATTGAAAGGTAAGTGTGGATTCCCGATCTGTAAAAGAACTGCTGTGACGTGAGCTTTATTTTTCTGACGCTGAGGTGTAAAAAACACCCCGGGTAACTACTCCCGAGTTAATTAAAGAAATAGAAACCAATATCTTAAAAGATATGTTACACACACACACACACACAGAAGAAATGTAAATCCAAACATACAACCTCTACACAATGCATCTTGAGTAATGCTAATGCCAGTAATTTTCTTAACTTTCAAGCTCTGTAACTCGAAAAGTATTTAATGAAAAAATATTTTATTATATTGTTTTGAAAAGCTCTTGAAATAAGCTATACAAAACATGCAATAAAAAATNGGGATCCCATTTAAAAAATTCAATTTGATCTTTAAATGACCTCGCAGACTCCACCTAAGGTCAACCTCTTATCACTAGTAAGTACATTTTTGTAAGTTCTACAACTTTGCTTCTTATAAATTTTTTTGCTAGAGTTAATCGTTTTCGAGATTTTTTAGCGTTACCGGACTTTTTGGAGACCCTGTATATACAGGATGATTCAGAACAACCTGTTATCCTTGAAAATATTCTTGACTAAATTCTAAGACAACTTTTTATTTGACAAAATTGTCTGAAGCTTACTTTTTGAGTTATTAATAAAATTAGTTGACTTACCACGAGTTGGATACAAGAGGTAGACAGGGATGGTGCAACTCTCCGTCATACGCGGGCGATTACGTATGGTGCCTCACGCAAGCTAAACACTGTTTCTCTTCTTCTCTCACTTATTTTATTTATTCATTTGTAATTTGTATCACTTAATCTGTCCATCACATTAATCACTGTTATTCACGGTGAGGTGCGCCGCCTCTGCTTGTCTCTTGAATCCGACTCGTGGTAAGGCAACTATTTTTATTAATAACTTAAAAAATAATCTTCAGACAAATTATTGCTAAATAAAAAGTTGTCTTAGAATTTAATCAAGAATGTATATTTTCAAGGATAACAGGTAAAGTCTGAATCACTCTTTATATATACACTGTATATATACTCTGAAACTTTATTTATTTTCCCAACCATGAAACGTGAGCACTTTACTTATTTTCCTTCAGGAAGGGATCCCACCACTGCTGCATAGTAAAGGTAGTTTTTCATTACGGTTGCAGCAATTAACTGGTGCAAATCACGCCGTTTCCAGCGGCGTTTGTTTGCTTGTTAAGTGCGAGAGTGGGGAAAGAAACTGACAAGGGGTGGGCACGAATTGCAAAATACGAAATGAATGAGCCATAGCAGAGAGAAGACTGAGAGCGGCCATCCTATTGTAGTTTTTTATGACGATTTCAGCCGCTGGTTTTATCGTCATCTCCACAAAAGTGGAACTCAAAGCCCACATTAAACGCAAGTAGCAAATCTCGTGGAACTGATCAATCACGTTGGCCGAGTGGCTGATTTGACTCTGCAATTGGTCAATTTCACAAGACCTGCAACTTGCGTTCAATGTAGAACGGCATTTGAGATCCACTTTTGTGGATATGTCGCTAAAACCAGCGGCTGAAACCGTCGAAAAAAACTACAATAAGATGGCCGCTCTCAGGTATCTCTCTGGCCATAATTCATTTGAAAGGAGATCGAGAGTGTAAAAAGTGTAAGAGGGTTTGAGTGCATGGGCCTTAGTTACCGAGAATTTTGCATGCAAAGTTAAGCGTGCGGCCAGCTGTACGTTAACTAACATAGATAAGTTAGACTTAGCGTGAAGCGTCGTGGCTGAGCGGCCTAAGGCGCGCGCTTTGTAACTTTTGGCGTCCGTTGCAAGTTCGAAACCTCGAAGTGTCAACTTAATTTTTTTATTATAACAACTATATCAACTTAATTAATTGTTCTTAAGTTTTGGAATAAAATATTAACAATAACAACGCAATTAATTAATTATATATAATAAAAACAAGAACGGGAATTTCTGTACTTTATGTTTTTGATGCCGATACTTTTTATACACCCTGAGCTACGTTCGGGGAGCACGCTATCAGCGTTATTGCGTCATTCTATCTTTGTTTTACATCTAAGGAGCAATAACGATAGAATGATGCAACGTTAATAGCGCGCTCCCCGAATGCCTTGTATATCAAGATATATGTATATATACGTGTCATTTAACACTGGGTTTAAATTGAAAAGAGAAACCGGATAGACGAAAACTCGTCCGGTTCGTGTATTTCTCCTACCAGAAAGCCTCTCCCCTCTCCACAGCCATTAGCTGTTATCAAGTGTCTCACCAATTCCATACGCAACACATGACTACTTTGCCCGTTTTTCGTCCACTATGCGCAGTAGATTTCTCTTTTCAAATTGAACCTAGTGTAAATGTCATTAAATACAATGAATGCGTTCGGGAAGCGTGCTATCAAAGCTGTTACATCATTCTATCCTTATTGCTTATTAGATGTAAAACAAAGATAGAATGACGCAATAGCGCTGATAGCGTGCTCTTCAAACGCAGCCAATAGCCGCGTTTAGCAAACTAATTGAGTTCTCGTTTTGTCATCATTCGATAATTTGTTAATTCTAAGAGCAAAAGCCAAACACGTTCGATTGCTACAAAGCAGCTTGTTCTGCTGAACGCAGCAACTAGCTTCTATTGCTTAAAATCTTGTGAAGAAAATATAAAAATCAATGAAGATTATATCAGAGAGAAGACTGAGAGCGGCCATCCTATTGTAGTTTTTTACGACGGTTTCAGCCGCTGATTTTAGTGCCATATCCACGAAAGTGGATCTCAAAGCCTGTTCCACATTAAACGCAAGTCGCAGGTCTCGTGGAATTGATCAATCAAGTTGACCGATTGGCTAATTTGACTCTGCGATTGATCAATTCCACATAATCTACTTGCATTTAATGTAGAACAACCTTTGAAATCTACTTTTGTGAATATGGCTCTAAAGCCAGCGGCTAAAACCGTCGTAAAAAACTACAATAGGATGGCCGCTCTCAGGTTTCTCTCTGGTTATATACAGGATGTCCGACAACTAATGTAAAATCTCTCGTAGGCAGGTAGGAATAAAACTGAGTTGAAAAGTCCTGAACCACTTTTTTCTATTACATATAATAAAGGAGTAATTATTGAATAAATCAAACCAATTAGCGCCGACCTTTAGCCGAATGCACGTCAGTGAACCACGCGCCTGGTGTGCGTGAGTGCTCCGCGCGGCTCACTGACGTGCGCCTGGTTAAAGACGCTGATTGGCTTGATTTATTCATTAATTACTCGTTTATTATATGTAATAGAAAAACGTAGTTCAGAACTTTTCAACTCAGTTTTACTTCTTCTACTTGCCTACGAGAGATTTTATACTAATTGTCGGACACCCTGTATATATAAATTATACTGCGTTCAATTTGAGAAGACAATTTTACTGCGCATAAGAAGAGAAAAGCAGGAATAGTGTTGCTTGCGGAATTGACAGAATACTTGCTGATAGCCAATGGTTGTGGAGTGGGAAGACTTTGTAGAAGTGCACAAAATGGACGAGTTTTCATCCTTCTGGTTTCTCTTCTTAAATTGAACACAGTATATACACAGTATATGTGTATATTATGTGTATATACACATATATTAATTAATATAAAATATATTATTGAAACCTTGATTTATAAATATACTAACCTCCATCTCCTTCAATTTTTGTATTTAAAAATAATTCTTTTAACTTTTCTTGTGACCAAGCACAAGCATTTTTCTCTGTCCTGTAGCAATTTAGTAATTTTTATGACAAAATGTTATAAAATATTGATGTATTTTATATTGATAAAGCTACAACAAGTTAAAGATGTGTTGATTAATGTATAAAACACATTTATATATAAACATACCAGTGCCAATTATTAACATTTGTTGCATCAGGCCTATCTTCTACAATCCAACGAGGATCTCCTTCACCCCACTTTGCCATGCTTCCAAATTGATGTTAAAGTAGATCTACTGAGTATTAGTAGAGTAGAATGTAATACACTAAAATGTAATAGAAATTGTACATTACAGTCTGAATATAAAAGCATATTTATAAAATATAAAAACAATCTTTTAGAAAATTCCATTTTATATTGTACATTTTGTATAAATAAACCATAACCTAACCTATAGATCAAAAAGTAATGAAACGATTATACGCACGTTAAAATAAAAAAATATTAACTATCGGAATTATCGAAATTTTTGTCAGGCGTAAGTTACTTACGCAAGAAGTTGCAAACTATGATTAAAAGTATATTTGCAGTTTGTTGCTGAGTCGCGTTTTCGTGACAGCTGACTTGCAAAATGTCTATACAAAGATGCTACTTTGCACGTGCTTCTGTATGTATTTTTTGAGTAAGAAACTTTAAACGATGCAACACTGACAAGTAAACATTTAGTAATACTTAATATTTTGATTGCTTCGGTAACTCCAAACTACCCAAACTACACATCGAAAAACGACGACAAAGGAAATCAGCGTCCAGGCTAGAAAACTCTCAAACATTCTGGAAACTTCAAGCATCAAATAGGAAATTTCTCAAGATGATATACTCACATGTAATTTTCAAACATAGATTAAGGTCCGCTTATGCAGGTAGAGAGAAGACAGAGGCCGGTATTCATAGGGTGCCAGTACAGTCGCGGTCACTGAATCGTTTCGTGGACGCGGAGGGCTAGAGGTAAGAGGGACGGTATTCCCTAGCGGTAAGTAGCGCCAACAGACGCCGTCCTAACTAACTGTAACAATCATCTGATCCACAACTGCGTCGTATCAGAGAGAAACCTGAGAGCGGCCATCCTATTGTAATTTTTTACGACGGTTTCAACCGCTGGTTTTAGCCGTATTTCCACAAAAGTGGAACTCAAAGGCTGTTCTCCATGAAACTCAAGTCGCAGGTCTCGTGGAACTGATCAATCACGTTGGTCGATTGGCTGATTTGACTCTGCAATTGGTCAATTTCACGAAATCTGCGACTTGCGTTTAATGTAGAACGGCCTTTAAGTTCCACTTTTGTGGAAATACGGGTAAAACCAGCAACTGAAACCGTCGTAAAAAATTACAATAGGATGGCCGCTCTCAGATTTCTCTCTGGTCGTATCGATAATGGGTGCGTTCAGACAACTCAACGGTTGAGAGATCATCACTTATGATAGGACTATTCTTCAAAATCTGCTGCGGTTCCAAAAGTATNATCCAATCAGAAGTGATTATCTCTCAACCGTTGTGCACCTGTTGAGTTGTCTGAACGCACCCAATGTCAATGCTTTCCTTGACTATTTGTGTCTCAAAACGTAAAACTATTGGCCTGTTTCACAAATGCATATATATACAGGGTGTCCCAGAATTGCCGTACAATCTCTCGTAGACAGGTAGAAAAAATAAAACTAAGTCGAAAAGTTCTGAACCATTTGTTTCTATTATTTATAATAAAAGAGTAATTATTGAGTAAATCAGGCCAATCAGCGCCGACCTTTAGCCAGGCGCACGTCAGTGAACTGCGCGGAGTGCTTACACACACCAGGCGCGTGGCTCACTGACGTGCGCCTG